ATGAAGCATTTTGCATTTAATGGATCAAATCACTGCTTAAATGTTTAACCGGTATTGAAACAAGTTTAAGTTAACTTGACTCAACTTGGTGAATGCCGCAAGTCAGTGACCCGATGCAATCCTTAGATAAAAACTGCTTCTTTAACCGCTTTCAATGATTAACTCATAGACAATCAATTGGAATGTTTGTGTGATTGAATTGAAGTTATTGATGTGGTAAAGTGCCTTGAGACAACATGTGCTGCGAATTGGCGCTAGGAAGACAAATTGATTTGAATAGAATTGAATTCAAGTAGCAGAGAATAAGTATTTATTTTGTTGTTGTGAGTCTACAAGCAGCAATTATTAGTCCTACAAAACGACTCAGCTTCACAAAATGATGCAAATGCAGACTGTGGTTGTAAATGTCTTTTCCTTCTAAAAACAGGGTGTTTAATTGCGCGCCTTTCTCTTTTGTACTTGTGCGTCACCTATAAACAGACACTGCAGACCCCGACAATGAACTGAGCAGAAGTTTGAACCTGATCCCTTACAGTCCCGTCACGCCTCAGCGGACCCAGAGGCGACGACCGGTTCTCTTCACTCCGGCCGCACTGGCCAAAACCATCATCCAGAAAATACTGAACATGGGCGCAGCCATGGACTTTAACATCTGCAAACCGGGTTAGTGTCTGAAAAACAGCATGCAGTATAAGTCTTTGTAAGAAATGTGACTTCATTGTTTGGATTTTTTTTTTACCCTACTTTGGGTGTAATCCCAGTGTGTTGCTGCCAGCATGACGCGTGGGTGAATGCTAGAGAAAAAGATGCCACCGTGGGGATTTAACTCACGCGTTGTACTGCAGTGTGATGAAAAAGTTAAGAAGTGTAACCAGAGCTAGAAAAAGGGGCAGCACAGAAGATGGCCTAGTTGATAACCAGCATGACGATGCACTGCAGTGACAATGACAGATATTTTAGACGCCACGCTGACACTGCACTGTAAAAATGTCGTTTTTGAACGTTGTGGAAAAAAACATTTGCAACATTTAAATGTTGTAAATCTTCCCTCCCTGTCCCGAGGGAAAGCACTCTTTTCCTGACAGAGGAAGTTATCGGTGAAGGTTGAACATCTGGCGAGTCAAGAGTCTGTTTTGTGACTTTCTGACGTGGAGAGTCCCCTGGGCGAAAACCTCAAGTTTCTGTTCCTTGTGATAAATGACGCCGTGCAGCGGCGTAGCAAATGAGCACGGTGTGAATGCGTCCCATTGTGAGCTCCACAAAGTAACGCGACGTGTGACGTTCAATTCACGCTTCCCCCTCGTCTTTTCGTTTTGCTCTGCGTGTCCAGATACCCTAACTAAGGAGGAGTTTCATCTGAAACAGAACGTGGAGCCCTTCATTCACTACAAGGAGAAGCAGGCCACATTTGAATGCATCACCCGGGAAAACATCGAAGCTGTCGCTGCCAAGGTTGGTGTTTATCCAAAGTTATTAATGCAAAGAGTCCACTTAAAATGTCTTACATTGACTTTAAAGGGGCAGTATTGTGACTAATCAACTTTGTCGAGCTTGACACATGTAGTGTTATTCTCTCATCAAAAACATACTTGGATGCTTCCCCACTCAGCTCCTTAAGACTAGCCAGCTGCAATTAGCAGACACCTGGTGGGACTGCACATCAGCTGGGCTCATCATAGTAGCTACTTCTCGGTTCAACGCTGTTAAAAATGTTGTTAGAGGGTTAATAGAGGAGCGATGCTGTAACGACTTCCTGCAGGAGGAGTTTCAGAAAGAGCAGGGATTTTTAAAGAAACAGAGACACAATTTCAAGGTGTTAACTTACCAAGTCAAATTTCCTTTAAGTCATATTTGATGTACAGCATTTTTAAAACAAGTATTGAAGTATCTACCAGTATTAGGTGCCTGGGAAGCACCTATTATCACTGATGATATAGTTACTTTGAAAAAGTAACTTTAATCAGAAGATTGATTACTCCTTGAGAAAATAACTTAGATTACTGATTACTTGATTTGGAAAATAACTAGGTTACATTAAAAGTAACTTTGATTACTTTCAGCAGCTGTTAACAACAACAACGCTCCTGTGAAGATCACATTGATCTTTCCCAATACTTATTTGCAAGTTATTTTATAATGATTACATCAACAATGTGTCTCCACTTATATGGTTGAACTGAAGGGGACATTATTTAATGCTTACAACAGTACAAAAAAACTTTTGTAATTTGTGCGTGTTTTTGTGTGTTTCTATTGTCTGGAAAACTTTAAATAGGATTTTAGGACCAGGTTCAGCATCCAGGTTCGAACTTTAGAAAAAAACAAGCCCAAAGCAGATAGATTAGATGCACTTTGTTTGCCGCCACTCCTGTAGACTTGTTTTCAAGCCTCATTTCCTCTTTACCCATCTTCAGGGTAAACATTGCCTGCTGGAGGCCGAGCTGAGCTGCGTCAAGGACCTTCTGCGGAGAGACATCTACCCCATTATCGTTTATGTCAAGATCTGTGATAAAAATGTCAAGAGGCTAAAGTAAGTCGAACACGAGCTCTCCACCTGTGCAGGGGGACCTTTTTTTCCAAATCCAAACACACGTCAGTTCTTGTGATGAGCTAATGTTTCCATGCCGGAGATTAGAAAGAACACATTTTGACGACTCTGATGGCAAATGGGCAAATGCAACCATTTCTAAAAAAAAAAAAAAAAAAACGCTGACTGTCAGGTCTGTTCTGCGGTTCTGCTGTTTCTCAGTAAAATTACCAAAATATTCTGACGTATCTCTGGGTGGATTCTGTGACGTCTTTGAATTTGACGGGCCGCTGCAGCTCCACACGATCTCGGCGTCAGAGATACCGGGTTCCAAACATCACCGCACTCACCACCGCAATGCTGTTTCCTTCCTGTTTCCTGTCCACACAGGAAGCTGCCTCTGCGCGTGGAGTCGGAGGAAGACTTTGTGAGGTTGTGTCGGGCGAAAGAGAAGGAGCTGGAGACCATCCCTTGCCTGTACGCCACCCTGGAGCCCGACTCCTGGACGGGGATGGAGGACCTGATAAGGCTCATCAAGGACAGAATTTTGGAGGAGCAGAAGAAGACGATCTGGGTGGAGCAGGACCTGCTGTAGGCCTCTTGTGCACCAGTCTGTACATTTAAATACGTGTGTAGCTAGATGCAGTAAACCACAAAACTTGTAACTCATACTGTAGCTCTCCTTTTATATTTATAGTCAGACTCAAAGAGGCACGTCTTAGAGACCCAAACAAATGCATTATGTATTTTGTAAAATTGTATTTCAATTTTCTAAAGATAAACGGATTTAAAACCCCTAATGTGAAGACTTATTTAAAAAAGACATTTGAGTTTAACCAGGATTAAACTGCCATCTGGTGGTGAGGTTAGGTCATTACAGAAACAACAGTAAAACCAATCCAGTGAAAACCAGTCATATTCCACAAACTAGAAAATTATAGAAAACTTGAAATTACCTAGGTAATTCAGTCACATTGTATAGATTAATTACATTTTTTTCTGTTATGAGGATTTTCTGCTTACAGGTAATTGAAACACAATGATAAGACATTGTAAATACAGAAATGTGGGCTTAAGGTTAAGATTAAATATTGTTATTTTCAAAAAGCCACTTTTGATCTAAAAGATGAGCCTCAGTGGAGTGCATATTCTAATTTACTGAATATGTCTGCATTTCACTTTCTACGACATTACAACCACACACCAGTGTGTTTTATTGGGACTCAATGTGACAAATCAACACTGAATACTGCATGACTGCAGTGGAAGGAAACTTATGTGGGTTTTCAGAAGCTTTTATAAATAAATATAAATAAATATCTGAACGACATGGTGCATTTGTCTTTGGTCTTTTTTTTTTCCTACCATGTGTCATGTCAAGGCACTTCAAGCTCAAGAAAAAAACAAAAACAAAAATGGTTACCTACATTTACCTAAACAACCACAGAATATCTCAAGATGAAATTGCAACATTGTCAGATTGGTGAGAAGCTCAGAAATCCTTCAACTTATTTGTGAAGAAAATATTTCTGAAGCGGAACTGGATTCTACAACATGTAAATGGCCCCAAAAATACCAATAAATTCACCAGGGACTGACTGAAAACTAAGCAATTGAAATTCCTGGACTGAGTCAAAGCCCAGAGCTGTAGAATAACTTGAAACAGGCAGCGCATGCAAGAAAACCCTCATATATCATCCAGGGAGGCGTGCAAACTCTTCTCACTGAAGATTAATAGCAAGGTGGTAACACGAGGAGGAAGACTGTCCAAACTCGTTCCTAGAAAACACATTATTGTTGATATCTATCTTTATGTTTTAATGAGTAAAACATGAAGAAAAGCATTTTTAAAAAGCATCAAGACGTTTTTCAAGGTGTTTATTGTGGTTCTCTAGAGGTCAGTGGGAATTTTGAGGAACATACTTTTCCAAGAAAGCCAAATGATCGTGCATGTACGGAAAATATGTGGGAAAATCTTGCCAGTGCGGCTGGTATCAGGTATATGGAGCAGAAAGGCTACATTTGGTGCACTACCTCCCCCGCTCTGTGTTGTAAAACTGTCTGTGTGTGTTTAAGGAAGAAAGCCAAGAAAACAAAAAACAAGACAATTACACTGAGCAAATTTTTTGACTATGTCCAATCCCACACAGATTAGGTTACAACACAAGTCAGGTAACTGTCTTCAGTATCACCTAATTCACCTGATCAAGATAACAGTGTTTTTCTCTCGTTCTTGTCAATTTTTTATTTTATTTTATTTTTTACATTTAATGTTGCAGTTAAAAAGTTATTTTTAACCATTTGTTCCCGTGGGAAGGATGGGAACGCGTGAGTCATCCCGGGATCAGAGAGATGTCATGTTGGAGCTGACCCAGAAAAGTGAATTTATGTCCTCCTCGCGAGCTCACGTTGCAGAAACGCTCAACCACAAACTCTCGCGGTGTTTCGCTTGGAGATCTCGCTCCATCTCCCACGGAAAAAGCAGCGGCTCTCATCGCACGGAGCGCCGACAGGGCAGGCTCGGCTAACGCGACCGGAGGAGCAGAAAGGAAAAAGAGAGGTGAGGACGTCTAGTTCTTTAATATCTTTGTTCTTTTTTTTTCACACAAAAATATGGCCATAATACTAAATATCTTGAGATTTCGGTGCGCATTCCTCCCGCATACACCTCTGCCTCAGCGCTCTGGACTTGTTTGACCGTTAGGCACACTGACAGCGCGACAAACCCGCCGTGACCGCAGAAACTCGGTGTTTTCTTGACCCACTCGTCATGTGTGTTCGCCTAAATGCGCCGCACACGTCGCTGTAAGCCAGGGTTGGGGTTTGAGGGGCTCCCGGGTGGAGGGAACAGCCTCTTCCCGCGACGCTGCTCGTCCGTCAAAGGTAGCATTGTGTCCGGTCTGGCATCCGCCGAGGGCTGCTGCGGACAGGACGGAGGGGATCCGTCAGCCCAGGCTCCCGTTTGGGCTGGAGCTGCAGGTTACAGATCATAGTGGGACACTAAATTCATAAAGGCATCGACTGAGGTGAGTGGCACCACCTCAAAGTTCAAGCTCTTTGAAAATGTATGGTGTGAAATTGAATTTGATTCTCGAATCAATTCAGAAGAATCAAAACACAAAACTAAGCATAATGTTTTTTAAAATCTCTTTCAATGTGGTACTATGGGTCCACATTCTTGACAGTAGCAGAATAATCACAGTAACTGTGTTTGCATCAATCCCGATGTAATAAAAGCATTGAAATTTTAATATTATTGTCATTACAGTTGCAGTTATTATTTAGTTCATGTGGTATCTTGTTGGTGATTTCTTTTCTCGCTTAGATCCTGGGATTTGTTTGATATTTATAAATAACACAAACAGTGGTTTGCTATTAAAATGTCACACGCAATGAAACTGCATTGCAATTTGGTATGAAGCTGAAATCACAGACTGTTTTTAAACCTCGTTGGTCAGTTATTGTGACCTGCCTTTCCTTGCTGATTCTGATTTTCAGCTTTTTTTTTCTCTTTTTTTTTTTACCAAGTGTGACCTATTTCAATATTATCCTGATGGGTGGGTAAGAAAGGCCTGGTGGCCCGCCAGGCTTATAATAAACCCTGGACTGAAAACGAATAAAAAATAGGAAAAAAGTCTTTGATAGTGGTTGAGTAATTCAGGAAATGGAGACGATCATGTTATTATACCACTTATGGATGAATTTGATGCCAACTTATAACAAATACTTCAGTGAGTGTTCTTGCTGGATTTCCTTTTGAAAACTCAGAAAGTCACCTCAAACAGACTGATTTGTGTAAGCTTTGTTTTTAATTAAGCAGTTAAATGTAATAAATGTGGGTCTTAAAAGAAAAAAAATAGTTTTTTGATGGAGGCAATTGAGTAAAACTGAAAAATAGTGGGATTACCGCAGCGATTCCCACTTATGCAGTACAATCATAAATAAGTAACCCTTATCTTTTTACTAAACCCAGAATAAATTGTTTTCTTAATGCATTCGAAAGCTAGAATACGGGATTGTTCCAGTTTTAAACAGAAAAAACTGAGAATAAACTGATTTTTCCGAACGTGACCTGCCTGGTCCGAGCCGGTCAAAGGAAAATGCGCAGACTTTGACCCGCCACTAGTCTGATGTGCCACTAGTCTGATGTGCCACTAGTCTCTGAAATGCAAACTGCACCGGAGCACTTATGCTGTTGCCGACGGCGGTGATAAATACAACACGTTGTAGTAAGACAGCAGCTGATATGTCTGTAGGGAGGACGAAGAGATGTCTGCTGCCTCCTAACAGACGTTTCCATGCCAATAATTGCCTCTTCGCTTCAGGGGAAGAGGAGGTACAGAAACATGACGGATGGCAGCTCCAAGTTTAGAAGTAAGCTCAAGTGAGGGAGGGGGGGAGTGACTTTTGATCCAAAGAGGAAGGAGAAGTATACAAGACTGGAGCCCAATTATCCCCGAGATGCAGGAAATGCGACTCGGGGACGGAACAGACACTGCCTCCACTTCAGACCCTTCCAAGCTAATTACCGCGCGAGCACAGTGAGCATCTGTGTGTCTCCCTTGTGCAGCGTGTGCCGAGGTCAAGCCTTTTATAACTGCCTCTCCTTCAAAGGTGGCGCACACTGGCACTTTCATTATCTGAGGAGGGCGGGGCATTCACAGCAAACACTGCTGCGGGCTTCAGCGTATCCCTCTTTGGTATGCCGAGTCCCACTGACCTGAAAATATCTGACAAACGTTTGTGATCTTACCACTGGGAAGCGGCGTGGGGCCCGAATGTTAAATTCTGCAGCAGCCTTACCATAAATCACGGCTGAGACGTCCTCGAACTTTGTTTCAAAACTTCAGACTGTGAGGAAGAAAAAATGTGTGTCTTTTTATTTACTGTATGTAAATGTTTGGTTTTAACTGTATGTAACTTGAAATAATTCATAATAAAATTTTAAAAATCTAAAATCAACTTTCGCATCTCTTGGCAGGTTTTATTCAAACAGTAATAACAACAAGCAAAGCTGTTAAAAAGAGAAGAGAAGAAACGCATCACTAGGCCTGTCACAATAAACAATAAATCAGTTAATCGCATGAAAAAGTAAAACGAGTTCAATCATTTTAATTTGAACGATTTATCGTTTTTCTCCTTCCAAAAAGTGGATGTTAAAAGTCTTCAAGCTGGTGTTTTGGTCTTAATAATTTTTTTTTTCTTTTGATGAATAATTTTGTTTACAAAGACTTCATATTTCATTTATTTGTTTATTTTGGATGTTTAAAATATCTTCCATTACCAGGATTAAAAGTAGACTAAAATTAAAAATTGATAAATCTTTGAGAACGTGTTGTTGCCATTACCGTTACATTTCTTGAAAATTGTCTCGACACAACGATATTATTGTTTATCGCAATAGAGTCTGGGACAATTTATCATCCAGTAAAATTTGTTACTGTGACAAGCCTTCTCATGAATAGTTTGAATGAGAGCTTGCTTTGCTTAAATCTAAAATCTGATGAAGCCATCTAAAATTATCTTTGGAAAAAAAAAAAAGACGTCTCAATTAGTTTGCTCATATCTTTCACCAGAAAACATTGGCTGGTGTTGCTGTGATTTGTGTGACCTGGATTTATTTTATATTTTTCAAAAACAAACAAAAGGACACGATTCAGGTGTGATTTAATAGGATTTGTCATCATGCGTTGGATACTTCTTTCTCAAGAGTGCAAAGATGTGTTCTGTGTCCTTTTCTCCGCAGGTCCTTGACGGGCCGGCTCCAGTCCTGCCGTCATGTTTGACCCGATCCGACTTCAGACTCCGCTGAAGCCGCTGCGTCTCTAACCGCGCCCGCACGGAGCTTCTGGGTGTTTTTTAGCCCCGCAGCAAACCCGAGCCTCCAGGTCCTCCGGTCCGCGCACGAGAAAACACACAGGTGTCTGTTATAATCTGCTGCCATGGCAACACTCTGCAGACGCCCTGCGAAATCATAAGTCTGTTGCTATGGCGACTCTGTAGCAAGCAGCTGTCACTATGGGAACATCCAGGATGTTCCGCGTTTTCGTGGTTCTGGGCTCGGCTTTCATGATCCTCCTCATCATCATCTACTGGGACGACGTGGGAGCCGCCCACCTCTATCTGCACACCCCAGTGTCCCCGGGCCCCAAGGTCCCCCACCCGCCGCCCCGGCCGAGGCCCCGCACCACCCGGACCCCGTCCTTCCTGTCCGACATCGACGCCTTCGTCAACCAGTTCCTGGAGCCCGGAACCGGGGAACCCACGGACACGGTGCCGGTGGACTCCAGCAACCAGTCGGAGAAGTCAGAGGAGCGCTACGTCCCCCGGAGGGAGTGGAAGATTCACCTGACGCCGGTCGCCGCGGAGCTACGGGAGAGACAGGTGAGCTGAAGTGTTGACAGGCGGCTTCATATGGAAAGAGGTGGAAAAGAGAGTGAGACAAACCATGATCTACTCATGAATTAAGATGGTTAGGGCTGCTATGTGTGATTATTTGACTAATCTATTGTTCCTCTTAACATGTTTGCTCACCAAAGAGCCTGTTTGTGAGTCTGCATACTGCAATTCATGATTAACCGATTGCACAGCATGTGATATTTATCGCATAATTGTTTCTCCAAATGGAATAATCAGGAAAAGAGGCGACGGTTACTCCAGGAGGTCTGCGCCAACGACAGCGTGGCGTTTCCGGGCAAAAACCGTTCATTTGACGACATTCCTAACAAAGAGTTGGATCACCTCATTGTGGACGACAGACACGGCATTATCTACTGCTATGTTCCCAAGGTACGCAACGTGGTCAGCCAGCTTTGTACATTTTGTCCCATTTATAACGCGAGGTTTATCTGTTTCTCTGCTGTGAATGCGACCTCAGGTGGCGTGCAGCAACTGGAAGCGCATCATGATCGTCCTCAGCGAGAGCCTGCAGCAGGACGGCGCCCCTCAGAGAGACCCTCTGGCCATCCCCAGGGACCTGGTCCACAACAGCAGCATGCACTTTACCTTCAACAAGTTCTGGAAGCGCTACGGCAAGTTCGCAAAGCACCTCATGAAGGTCAGTTCTGAAAAATTTTATGCAATATTAGGAATCAATCAAAAAATGGAAATAAACGATTCATTCATTTTGTAAGCAAGAAAATAAACACTTTATCACCCAAAATCCCTTAGTGACCTCTTGATAATTTGCTGCAGGGGATGTATCTGCAGCATCAACATGAGGAAAGCTCTATCCCTTCTGCTTGACTTCACATCAGTAAACTGAAAGACTTTTCTTATTGTTCGATTAAACAATTAATAACAGCATCCAAAAGGTGGTTTACAGGAGATTTGTATTCATTTTAGTTTTTTTTACAGAATTTGAGCCAGATGAAGCTAGAACTGTCATTTGAGGAGTTCTGTGTCTAACCTGCATAGTTATCTTAAATTCAAAACGTATATATTTCGTACAGTTTTTACTTCTCTGAATGTTTTTGTTCTTTCAACAAATGGCCTCTTTTGAGTTCGTAAGCCCTAGTTAACGATTCATTTATTACTAAATTAGTTGACGCCGAAGTAATCACGATTTATTCGGTGAATTGTTTCAATCATGTGTGCCAACAAGCATTTTGATTTGAAGCTCAGCACTCTTTCTGTGGATGAGGAAAAATTCTTCCTATTGACTCTCAAAAATCATATGATGATCAGAGGATCTTGGGGGAGGTAAGAGCGCTCACTTCGTTACTGTATTCTTGTATTTTGTTCACAGCAGTACATGGTCGCCCTCTGATGTCTCTCCATATACATTCTGTTATATCTAGGCCTCTTTTCAAAGGCTGCGTTAAAAACATCAAAACAGGTCATTGTGAATTACTTTCCCCCTGACTACTGATGTATTTTGAAATAATGCTGGAACTACATTTGGCAGGTGAAGCTGAAGAAGTACACAAAGTTCCTGTTCGTGCGGGATCCGTTTGTGCGTCTCATCTCCGCCTACAGGAACAAATTCGAGATGCGCAACGAGGACTTCTACCGGCGCTTTGCACAAGTCATGCTGCGGCGCTACGCCAACCAGCCCACGCCTCCCGCCTCCGTGGACGAGGCCTTCACTCTGGGCGTCCGCCCGTCCTTCTCCCACTTCACCCAGTACCTCCTGGACCCGCAGACCGAAAAGGACATGCCCTTCAACGAGCACTGGCGGCAGGTGTACCGCCTCTGCCACCCGTGCCAGATCCAGTACGACTTCGTGGGCCACCTGGAAACGGCGGAGGAGGACGCCGAGCACCTGCTGCGCCTGCTGCGGGTGGACAACGTGGTGGAGTTCCCCACCTCGCAGAGGAACCTGACGGCGAGCAGCTGGGAGACGGACTGGTTCGGTCCGGTGCCTGTGGAGGCACGCCGGCAGCTCTACAAGCTCTACGAGCCCGACTTCCGGCTTTTTGGTTACGACAGGCCAGAGTCCATCCTCAATGAGTGATTCACGCAAACGCACAGGCGAAATGTAGTATTTAAAATCACAGAGCGGGCGCCGCACCTCCAAAGACCAGCGAGAGGCGTCACACACACACACACACACCTTCTCCCGTCGTGTCTTTGCTGGACTGAATGTGCACATGATTAGAAACACTCCGGGCATCATTTCTGCCTCATTAAGTCACATAAAAAGCATGCAGTGTGTCCCTCTTCCCTCTTTAGGGACTTTTACCTCCATGTTTTTATGTGATGCCATCTGTGCCCACTTTTGTGACTAAATTCACATGCTGTCGTAGCACTCTGTTTAAAAAACAAAATTGATGCACAGAGACCGTTTCGGTTGTGATTGCACGCTTTGGACAATTAGATCATTTTTTTTGTGTCTAGATTATCTTAAATTATCACTGCACTATCAGTATTTAGCTGGTTTATTTCACATTGTTTAAAGTGCAATGTTTTTAAGCATGAAAGGGATTTTATGTTGAAGTAAGTCCAATTTTTTTACCTCGTATCCACACTTTAAGAGTTCGTTTTTGTGCATTGAACCGGGTTGATTGATTTATATCAGCTGTACAAGGTTCTGCAAGGAAAATATGTGCTGGAAATCAAGTACCGCTGCTGATGTCTGGCTAGTTTTAAAGCCGATTGCCACAATGTAGCCTGAGCATAAGGAAGCACAGCAGCAGGCAGCTGGTGACCTGGGTTTGTCTCGGCTTGTTTCAGACATATTCTTACGGTTACTGACACACAGATGTGCCTCTGCTTGTTTTTCAAAACTCTTTTTGTCAAAGGGAAATCTCTCATTCGTGTCTTTGCTTTCTGTTTTCTTTTCAGACAGGTCTGGGCTAACTCACGCCGTCACAATTTCATGACCTTAAACAAACCGTCTCTCTAGAATATTCACAACAATTGCTTGTAAGTTTATTTCCCTTGGCAAAAGTAGTATTTTATAGAATCATGTAGATTAAACTTGCAGGATATTTTGAAAGATTTTACGTTCCAAACTATTTCCATTGACTTTGGTTTTATGGTTTCTACTTGGGGTGTTTCAGTCCCTGATTAAACCAAAATTACTCTGAGGACGCTCTAAGCTTCATTAGAGCCACTTAAAAACAGCGGCTCATGAATACAATGTAGTAACTTATAGAAGATTATACAAAAGTACATATGAAAGTGGATACAGAATGAGAAAAGTGCAGTTAAGAGTTTCTTAAGGTATGAAAGCCTTGAGTAAAAATGTCAGTATTATGATGTTAACAAAATAAAAACAAAAGGATCGCTTTGATTCCTCAGAAAATAGCGTATTTATCCTTACACTTTTAATGATGCTGCCTATAACGTAGGTGAAAAAGTAGCAAAAATCTACACAGATATCCAACTGCTGAATATAGCTGTGCTCATTGTTTACATTGTCTCTTTTTTAGCATTCAGTCAGTCGTCTTGAAACAGCGCTACCTTTAGTTTCACACAAGGACTGGATGCAACGTGAGCTGCTTTTATTTCAAATACATATGAAGAAGATGGAGAGCTACCTTTAGTTTCTGTGTTTTTCTAACCAACGGGAAGGTGTTGTAGCGTTCTTTCAGCCAGCTGAAGAGCAGTGTGTGGGGGAGGGGCAGTGGAGCATTACTTTATGCTTCAAGTACTTTCTCTGAGAAGGACTTTAAGACATAGAAAAGACCAGATGGTTTTAAGATTGTAGCTTTTTTAAAAGCGTCATATTGGTAGCAAACCAAACGTAAACACTACGCTAAGGAAAAAGAAACACGACAAAAATGGAGAACGAACAAAGCTCCCGTTACTGATACCACGCTTTCCTGCAGACTGCAACTATGTGCTGTCATTTACCCCTGAACATGATATACACAGGTTGCTTCTGCATTTATTATGCGGTACATTGCATTGTTTTTGTAGCATTACTATGAGCTTTGATGAACTGCACAGCTGACAGCTGGTTCGACATGAATAGTGTTAGTCAAAAGGAAATGTGTGAGGCTGGAGTTATGGTATTAGTGAATCTCTGGCTTTCGGTGATGAAAGTGAGGAAAAGACAGTGCCTTTGGTTGCTAAAAGTTTACAAAGCTTAAAAAAAGAAAGTATTTTTATAGGACTTAATTTTTACTAAAATCACAGGCTCACAAAAAGGAATATTTGATATACTGCGTGTTGATTTCAACTGTATTTAGGGACCAAAAGAAAAACAAAGCCTTTCGGCTGAACTGTTAACGTGGGACTTTGCTATTAATCTCTCCATTTGTTTGGATTCTCCTTTGTTGTGCTGGTGTTCAGTGTCACACTCCATGCTGGATGTCGCTGTTGTTCTGACTCTTCATTGATGTCATAGACGGACGTATTGGTGTTTCTTTGTTAATGTTTTTTTGTTAATCTCTGATCTTTATGCAGAATTGTTTACGGGGCTGAGGGGAAGTTTTGTCTTCATCTTGTGGCCATATGCTGTTAGTGGATGGAGTCCACCTCTGCTGTGTTTGTACTTTAAGTCCTGTTGTATTTTCATATCTTTTGTTTTCTATTCATCTTCTTTTTTGACGTTCCCTATGTAAAATTCCGACTTTATTTATTTATTTTTCTTTCCGTCAATGAGCAAAGGGGGAAAAAAAACATTGAAACAGAAATGTTTGCAAGTCAAAAATCAGAATTTGTTTATGGTTCAAATAAAACAAATGAATATGAGTGTTTGCTGTTTTTTGTAAATGAGAAATTAAAGCTACAGAACAAAATACGACCCACATTTTAAGTTCTACAACAAACACAAAGCACAATACAATATACAGTTATTGTAGATATTGACAAACCTTTAGGTTCTCACCATGTCTATTTTGTCTCATAAGTTGAAATCTACATTTATCACACTTGAAGCTATTCCAGCCTCAGGTCTGCTGGACCTTTTGTGTTTTTTTCTCTCAAGAACATTCCAGTAGTGAAACACAACTAAATGCCAATTAGCGGGACTTTACTGCCATCTAGAGGTCAACTAAAAGAACTACATCTGGATCAATTCAAAATCACAGTGAAAACTCCTCTGATTTTTGGACATTTTACTTTTAATATTTTTTTTTTAATTACATAGAACTGGTACCAAACTAACACTGCTAACTGTAATTTAAAGATTTCTCTTAAATTTACATAGTACTATGTTTGATTTTGGGCAAATTAAACATATTTTAGATCATTTGATTAGGGATCACTGATTTGGTGTAAGCAAGAGTTGACACAAATTTCTCGTCAAAATAGATAAAAATATGCCATTCAAGTAAAATGTATGATTTGTACAGGAACAGTAAAATAGCTGTCAGCAGTCAGAATAATACAGCCTTTGTTGTAAGACATTACTCAGGTCTTGCAGCAGCTTCTCTTCCTTCTGATGAGTATATTTAACTTTGTGCCTCATGATGCCTGCCTCTGAATCCACTTGGACGTGTTGTGCTGTTAGTCTGATGTTGTAGTGTGAAACCGAGTTAACATCCGGGCTAGCATCCATTCAGAACAACAGCTGGTTACCACGGAGACTGAAGGCAGGCTGGTGAAGAGGCATTACTGACCAACTAGTTTCCTCCTGCAGCGCCGCCTGCTGGTGCTCCCTTACATAACACTGTTTGATCTTGCAGACACGAGAAGCACAAATTAATTTCACTCCATATTTTTAATAGTACAAATGAGTGATTATTCCACAATACATATCAAAAGATCATAGTGATGAAGTTATAAACCCTTCTAGATTTTCATCGCGAGGAGTCAAACCCACAGAAGGCAGTCAAGCTTAAACTGTTACAAAATACACAACACAATGGTTTCAGTTATGATTTTCCTTTTTCATATATTTACACATCTGCTAAGCAGTTTAGGTGCAATCATGTTGGACTTGTGTAATTGAATGTTTTGATGTCGCAGTTGGAACAGAGTAGAGAATAATCTTAAGGTACATACATCATTTATTTATTTATTACTTAACAAATAAATAAATAAATAAAATCTTATTTGTTGCTACTTTTTGGCAACATAATATTTGATCATTTCTTGTCCCCAGTCTGAGTCATTCAGAAAGATGATTCAGCGAATTCAGTTTTGTGCTAACACACAGAAAAACATTTTGGCAAGAAACATAAAAGGTTTCCCCAGAATACTTGCTAAGCCCGGTGGTTGGGCACCAGCAGCCTGTCGTGTTCTTGAGTTAAAAAATGTTTAAAGTTGACAAGAAATTTGAAAATATCACTTGATAATTATGTGTTATTGAAAGATTGGAAGATTAATACCTGAACACCAACTATAAAGTCTTATAAAATGCAAACATTTTAAAAAGTCTGAAGTAAATAAGCAATTATTAGCCTGGTGGGGGAACATGTAAAGCCTGGTGGCCTGCCAGGCTTATAATACACTGAGGGAAACCCTGAACATATTTTAAAATTAGCCAGTTAAATCAGACAGCTTACCACTAGAAAAGCACAGATCATGTATTTTTTTAGCCTCCATCAACACGCTGAAAGACTTTAAAGCAGGACGTTTTATAATTGTCCTGTACATCTTTCGCATTGTGACACATTTTCCTGCGGTTGTACTGAAATGTCTGTAGTGAAAGCCAGAGAGTTATTTTCTTTCAAGCATAAATTTACTGTCCTGGGTTGAACTTCCTAGTGTGGTTATGCTGCATTCAGTGACTTTGTGACTTTGTTAAGGTTTCCAAAATGACTGCAATACAGTAAACGAAGCCGTTACGGATATTTTAGTGTAATCTATCTAATATAGATGTGTGGAAAAGAAAACCGCATGTAACGGACACAGTAAACACAGAGAAGGTGTTTCGCTAAATTCTGCAAAGTTAAATCAACACTATTTGGTCCGTATCAGAATTGGTGTTATCGCCTTTCAAAGTAATTTCAACAAGAAGTTTTAACACTTGAAAAAGTTATAACTACTCAAACTTTTCTTGAAATAACTCTGAAAAGAGTTAACTCCAATTCTGATAAGGACCAAATGGACTCAGCATAGTGTTGATTTAACTCTGCAGAATGAGATCAAAATGGTGGAAAAACAAAATACTGTCCATCACCCTGGTGATAAATTTTGTCCAGGTGAATTGTCAGAGTACTGCACTCACATCTAGGAGGTTTTCGTTAATATTAAGGGATTATTGAAATAAAAGAAGCTCCTCTGTCCTGCTAAAAAGTTAATTTTGTCTTGATTTCAAGTGTACCAAGATATTTACAACAGAAACTAAGCCAAAAAATGCTTACGTGCTGCGGGAATTACTTCCTTAAACATGGAAGATTGATTATGTTGAGACGTGCCAGTCAAGAAAAGCGCGTTCCTGTTTTATCGCGAGACTTGCCCACGTTTGAGGCCGTGACCTGAGGAAACGTGAAAACGGCGCGAACACGCTAACAGACGAACCCGAAACGAAACGTCACCTCCGCGTCGCTCACTCCCCGCCGGCCGTGACGAGGTGCCCGTTGAACGTGATGTAGACGTCCACGTCGTCGCTGTAGATGGCGTTCTCGCGCTCCCTCCTGAACAGGCGCACCCACACGGCGTCGCGCGGCCGCAGCGCCAGCAGGACGCTCTGGCTCTGCATGATGGAGCGGTCGCTGGGCTGCGCGTAGACGACGGCCTGCTCCGCGTCGTTCTGCATGATGTGCAGGTACGTCTCCTTGAAGTTCCACGAGTGGACGTTGACGTTGAAGAAGTAGACCCCGGCGACGCGGCAGAGGAACTTCCCCTGGAACATGTCGAAGTCGCCGTGGAGGTTGACGAAGGCCGTGTCGAAGACCACCACCTGGTAGGCGTCGTCGCTGTGCAGGGACTTCCGGCGGGCCACGGAGAAGGCGGAGTGCGGGAGCTTGCAGGGGTCTCCTGGAGGCCCCGCGTGGCCTTTGCTGCCCTTTGACCCCGCTGCGCCTTGAGCCCCCGCAGGGCCTTCCTGTCCAACTTTTCCTGGGGTCCCTCTGTCACCACGGTCTCCTTTGTCACCTGAGTGAGGTTAAGTTACTCAAGTAAGAGTAAAACTACCAAGACATTGAGTAAGAATAATAATTTTTTAAAAAGTATTTAGTAAAACAATTATTTAATACTAAAAAAGGCCAAAATGAAAATAATTTATATGAATAATACAAATTCAAAATAAGTCAAAAGAAAATTTTTTCCCTAAATGTTTCAATATAAAACTTATGAAACTTTAACAAAAACTGCAGATTTGTGTCTATGTTTGGTTAAAATGTGTTCTGTAATTGCTGACACAAATTTTCTCAAGTAAGAGTCATGATATTTCATATTAGGGTAATATAAAATACTCCTAAAAGTAATTCCACCCCCCCCCCCAAAAAAACATTGCTCAAGTAAGTGTAACTGAACTGGTTATTGATGAAGATGCACCGAGAAGGCATAAAATATTCTTTATTGGGGGAAAAAAAGTGAAAGAAATGGTTTTCTTTTTTTTTAAAGGTTTACTAACAAAAAACATGAAATACCAAATGCAGAGCAAAGGCTAATAGAGACGACTCTCCATCGGCTCCACGCCCTTTCGTTTCTGAAATGAATCTAGCCTGAGGCCGTCCATCTGATCAGCAGCACTGAAACTGAACATTCCTGCAGGAAAACGAGCCAAGTCGTCGCAACAAATCCACACCAAATCATGGACAAGTCATTGTGTGGGCGGCTTTTTAAACAAGGCAGCGCTTCCGAGAAAAACCCACAAACATCCTGCACGCGAGATTCCTCCAACGTTTTAGTGACGTTTCGGCAAGCTGTGGGTCAGCGCTTTATTTTCACCCATAAATCCAATAAGCAGAATTAAGTGTCTCTGCTCCACAAATCTGGAACAAAAGTTCAGAAAACAGCAAAACAGCTAAAACTCTGAATTCCTTTAAATGTTTAGCAGTAATTGGAACATTGGCCACCATATCTGATGTGTATTTGCTTGATAATTTAATATTTACTGCTTAATGGCTTTTTTACGTTATGATGGTTTCAACACTTTGTTGCTGAAATGTGCTGTAGAGATTAACCTGACTCTTATTTATTCCTTAAATTAAATCTGTAGATTCTTTATTAAACATATATGAAGTCCAAATATTCCTATTTTAAAAAAAAGATTCTTAAACTAAGATAAAGTCAAAGGAAGTATAAAGTATGATTTTGGTTTACTGTAAGAACTGGACATTGCAAAAAAAAAAAAAAATCACACCCCTTTAGTCACATTTAATCAAATCACAGACTTGATTATCTGATTAGAATTTTGTGCAGTAGAAAATCACAAATTGACACACAAATATGAAGTGTTTTCAATTTGTTTCACAAGTAAATGTCAAATGGTTTTGTTGAGTTTACCCCAACAAAATACGACGGATAGTCCTGATTAACCGGGTTTGTTTTAACAGCTCTCCTCTGATTACGACTTTAAAGACAGAAAGAAGAAGAAAAAAACCTTTCAGGATAGTCATGTTGATGTAGGTGCGGATCTCTGGGACGGCGAACTCTGCCAGCGTCGGAGGATCTCCGCTGCCTTCTGCTGGCGGCATTTGGTCACAGCATCTGCTGCAGGGAGCGTTGGGCGGAGGAACCGTGACCCCAGGACAGAAGGAGGAGAGCAGGAGGAGAACGACACCCAACATAACTGTCCTTAAGGCTGCAGAGATATAGAGGTTATTACTATAAATACATAAAATAGCTTCAGACAAATGACTTATGATAATTAAAATAACACTGGCTTCTCCAACTATGCGGCAGGTTGAATGGGGAGAGGCTATGACATCGATCTGAGATTGTAATAATGTTTTTAAATCAGGCGCGTCAATTGGATTTTGGGACAAATCAAGGTCATTTATTTCATTATCAGAAATCAAGTGAGGCTGAGACAGATGTTTAGCAGAAGTAAGAAATACATTCATCTACATGTGGGAGAATTTCCAATATTTTTCACCATTTTTGCCAAAGACCTGCAATAAACTCATAATTCTGTATTAGTGCTAAAAAATAGGGATTTGTTGATTTTTGCGTGAATTTCCACGACAGTTCGCAGAAAAGTGGAGGGACTGATTCGCAATAAACGCATAAAAACAGCTTTGATTTGATAGATAAAACTATTTAAGCACACTGTGCAGAGATTTTTATGTCTTCCTCTAAAGTCCAGAGGGCCACATTAAAAAGCTACGGAGGGCCAGATTTGGCCCCCGGACCTCGAGTTTGACGTGATTTAAATCATTCATTTTCCAGACTGGCATGATGTTTACCTTGAATGATAACTGTTAAAAAATAAGATGGACAACTTTGGCTTTTTGAGGATCATTTTGGTGTCCATGCATCCTCCTTAAAGTCTTTATAAAGTCAAATAATCAGGAATAGCAGCAAATAATCAGGAACTATCTAAAAGTCGAAGAATGATACAGATTAGAAAAGTCTTTCGGCGTCTTTTCCAAACATCTAATTCAAAGAAAACAAATATGCACATATAAGGTATTTAGTTTAGCACTGGGGGATGTTTTTGTTTGTTGTTTTCACTCATCTTGGTTCCCAAAAGCCTTGATGTCTGTCCAACCAGGGCGACACGCCAGAGGGGGGCGCCACATGACAAAAAACCCCAAAACAAACAAACAAAAAGAATCATGTGGAAACTGAAAGAGTATCTGTTGCTTTTCGAGTGTCAATGCTGTGGGAATCAGTGCTGCCTCCTGTGTCCAGTGTGAGTACTGCAAGACAATATTGACACTGGCTGATGGCGCTGACGTCAGCAGCTGGTTCCCACCTTGCGACTTGGTGCTGAATTAAGGGAATATTCTGACAGATTTTTAAAGGAATCTTTTGGAAGATTTGATCCAAGTCATACGTATTCCAGACTGATCGGATCTAGATGGGACTTCTTTACTTTGAAAACATATTTTTGAGTTTCACGAGACATTTCTTCTAGTTCCAGGAAAACAAAACGAAACATTTTCAGTGTTTTCTTAGGTCAAACAAGATAAAAATTGAGCTCTTGGCCCTCGGTCGCGGGACATACAGTTGAAGGGAGTTTCAGTTTTCAAACACGGTGGTGGTGGTATTGTGCTGAGGGTCTTTTTTCTTTCTTTTTTTTTTTTTTTTTTTTTTTGCAATGAATTGAAATCTTACACTTAATCTTGAATTAAGGGATGTCGGAAATGTGGCCACAAATGAATATCCCAACTGGACAAAGAACATAGGGTAGCATCAGGTGAGCTTATATGTTTTAGATTGTACACATATATATAATTTTGTCAGTTTAACAGAAATAAACATTTCATACCCTCTTTACTAATAGGACACAACTGGTTCTCTCTGTATGCTTCACCTTTCTCTCTTTAGTTGGTAAACAGCCACTGATGTGCTAATATAACAGCATCATCTGATGTTTGTTTATCTCTCATGTTGAAAGTACGCCTCGTTCCCTGCATCATCGTCATTGTTGTTGTTTTTTTTTTTTTTTCTTTTTTTTTTTTTTTTTTTGTCACGTCTCTTCAACCCACATCAAGTCCAGTCTGGTTCTGTTGAGAGTTAAAGATTTCCTCTCCACTGTCACCACATGCTTGATGAGGAGGAGGCAACGCCGCAAAGACAGACGACTTTCCACCAACACGAAAGATGACGATCGACTGATGACATGTCGCTTTGTAATCGACGTAAAGCCAGACTTCACGTGACTTAATCTGAAACTCAACACATTAGAATAGATTCTGTTTGATTTGGCTCGAGTTGGACCAGTTTGTCTTTTAGTTGAACTAATTTAAGGAACTTTTTTGCTCGAATCAAATCAAACGGCCGGATGGATTACTTCTTGATGTGCTGGATGGATTACTTCTTCTTTTTATTATTTGCAGACAGCAAACCCTTTGGGGTGAATGCTTTCTTTTGGTTAGAGCTGTATGTCCCATGTTTACGCCCTGATCTATTTAAACTCGACTTTGGCAGCAATTTGCTCAAACTAAGCTAACCCAGCTCATCCCAAAAATGTGATTTACGGTTTCATTCGAACCATAAATCTACGTCTGCTGCTCAGTGTTTATCTCCAACACGTTTCATAACAGTGAGGTTTTTTTTCTCCTAAACAGCAGCCTTCTGTAACAAATCCCATACATGCAACTATGTTATAAAACCAAGATTTTAAAAGTTCAAAGACAAAGAAATCTCCTCCCACTTCCCGCTCCAACTCAGTAGTTTTTTTTTTCTTATTATTTTTCAAAGCAATCCTCGTGTCGGTGTCCGTCTCGCACCTGCAGCTTAACTGATAATCCAGACAAAGTGGACGTTAGTGACCCTCACCTCGGCTTCTGGAGGCAGATTCCCGAGTCCGCAGCTTTCCCGTTTTTCTGTGAGAGTGAGTGAAGTTTCCCGAGAGGAAACCCCTCTTTCTCTCGATCCCTCCTTCATGACCGTTTATGCAACAGCAGCATCCAGTTGGCGATCAAAGCCCAGCAGTTTCCTGCTGACCTCTGACTTAAGCAGAGCGGCAGCAACACCAGCCTCCCGCGTTTTTGACCCAACTAAAAGCGCGGGGCAAGATTTGCGCGCCTGATCGCTTTAAAATGTTTTTAATGACTCTGAAAGCGCCCGGTCTGATGAGAAAATCTCATTTTAACTGCTGCTCAGGTCTAATGATGCCTTGATGAACACTTCCTGGATCAGACACACAGGAAGCCGCTGGTCGGTCCCGGGAGGGTCCGCTTTTCTTCTGCACTGAATTCCTCTCAGATTTCCAGAGACCCAGCTGCAAGGAATGAGGCAATCCAGCGGAAAGACGAGGGGAAACAGAAGGGGAATGTTTTGATTAGCTTTGGAGTTGAGTTTTGAGTTCAGCTGCTCAGAGGGAGGACGATTACCTCAAGGATTACATAAGGCAAACTACAGAAACTAAAAGGCAGACGCGAAATGTGATCGAACCCATATTTTTCAGGCGTACTCCATGTCAATAAGGTGAACCTTTTTTTTTCTCTCACTTCCTGACATCAAATTAGCCTAAAAGCTTCCTGTTAGGGTTACCTAAACTATTTCTATTTGATAAATGGCAAGAGAATGGAACCAAATTCTTTTTATTATTTTATTAAATTCAGAAGTTTGCATCCACTAAGATCATCATTCCCAGGCTACGATGCGATGGATTTGTACGCTTCTGGATTAATTCTCAGCATTTGACATAATCTAGATTTACTTTCCTCAGACACGTTGTTTTCTGATTGGTGAATTTGCAAAATTTAAAGAAGGAGACTTTTGCATTTTTGCAATCCTGCTTCATCCTCCCTAAATGTCCCCAGCTGCATGTTGTCTCTCAACGCCCATGCACCTGATGAATACAGTTAGCGGCTCCCACCTTGCAGAGGAACCATTTTTCCCCTCCCGTCTGCAGAACCACAGCAGAATGTGAAGCTCATGCAACCAAGAAGCAAGAGAGCGAAACAGCTGGGGGCCCTGTGGTCAAAAGTAGATCAGATATTCTGTTCATAAGAGATTTTTTTGCGGTGAAATTAAGATATTTCCACACCCCCAGGGCCCTCCGACCGCAACCCCACTCTCATTTTTCTTCAAGATATGTTGTTCTTGAGCACCGGCATGATTAGAGGGGAAGTGCATTCAAACTGAAAAAAGCAGAGGTGAGTTCAAACTTCAGACCTCAAAGCACTCTTGTGGTTTAGCTCAGGAGAAAAAAAAAAAAGAGAGCCGGTGAGAGCGTTTTGTCTGGCTCCTCTCGGCCTGCAGCACACGTATGCAAAAGAACATGCGTGCAAAACACAAAGTGTCTCTTTTTTTTCATGTGCTTCTATGTTGCAAGCAGGTGCTTTGGGGTTTTTTTTTGTGCGCATGTTCTGGACGTGTTGGGTTGAGGAACTGTTTGTCCCTTGCGGTTGCCGTGGCTGACAGATGAACAGGTGGCGCTCATGTCCGGGTCCGTCCTCGCGTTCTGCCAGTCCGCTGTGGGTTAGAGGTCCAAAACAAGCCCGGAGCGTCTTCGTCTACCGCTGCTCTGATCTACTGCACCGAGGATTCATAGCTATCAAACTCGTTCGCACTTTTGTCATTTTTCAGTCTGGACTTTGACTGGGCCATTCTGACGCAGCATATAAACGCCGACATGTCAGCTCCTGTGCTGCAGAAAGACGAACCTCTGCTTTGTTTTCATCTTTTACAGCCTCTTTCCTTCTGACCTGCATTGAGAACCTTCTACATGTTGGACTTGTGACCATATCAAATACCTTTCTATCATTTTTTATTCTTACTGTTCATCAACTTTCTCCCTGACCTGCATTCTGAGTTTCTTGATCTTCGTGATGCTGCTTGTCCTCTAACAATCCTCCACGGCCAGAAACTGAACTGCTGGATTTATTTAGATTAAGTTACTCAGGTTAAGTTCTTCCCCTAAACCACAACCAGACGCAGCATTCGGTTTCTACACATCAGAAATCTGGAACAAACTTCCAGAAAACTGCAAAACAGCCGAAACACAAAGTTCCTTTAAATCAAGGCTAACCCCCCGTCTGTTTAGAGTTACCTTTTAACCATAATAAAAGAAACGTTTACCAATATATATGATGTCTATTGATGAGAAAATGTCATGTTTGTTTCTGGTTTTCTCAATTGGTGACTGTATGATGTTTTTATGACTTTTCATTTTTGACTTTATGTTGTAAAAAAATAAAATCAAATGTGCGCTACACAAATAAACTTGATTGAATTTGGAAAAACTAAGATGTGAAGATTTTATTCTAACATTTAAAAATAAAGACATACGGATCCTCTCTTGTTTTGGATATTAAATTAAACTTTTCGATTCTTGTTGCTCATTTATTTATTTTGTTTTCTATTTCTTTACAAAATCTTACGCATTTTGTTTTTATTTAAGACATCAAAATTGACAAACATTTGATCATAATAATAAATATCTCCAATATCTAGATGGGTCTCGCTGCAGTTTGTCCCTGTGTGATATTTATGTTAAAATTAAAAATATAAAAATAAAGCTGGAAAAAAAAAATTCCATCCAGATTGGCTGATTAATAAAATAAATAGTTCACTTGGTTGGATTTTATTTTGAGATCTGTGAATAAAGGTGGCTAAAAACAGAAACATAAAAAAATGCATATTTAATTGAAACCGCTTTAATTAAGACTTCATTTCAAAACTGTATTTTTTATTTTAATTGTGTTGTCCTATCAGATAAAATCTCAACACCACTGCAGCATGTGGTAAATGTGGGGGGAAAGACGAAAACAAAAATGTGTATAAATATATTTTCAAGGCTCTGCACATGAGAGAAACAGTCACGCTCCATATATCTGTGGTACATCTGACCACACCAGCACAACTCTGGGTTCCTGCGTAAACGCTGTCAAAACTAAACATGCTACCATTTCGCACAGCCGTACAAATGAACGTGGCAACTGCTTGCTCCTATTCGGTTACATAATCTCCTTAAACTATTTAACTCTGTAAAAACTGCAGTTGATATAAAGCCGAGTGCACAGGCTTCATACAAACTTTTAATATTAATGTGCACATGCATCAGAATGATTTGGAGAAGTGTTGTCCCAAAAACAAACAAAAAAGGAACAGTAGAAATGTGGATGTAAACGAACATCTCGGGTGTTTTCGTACTTACATGGCCAAATATGACAAACACTCTCTGGGGTAAGCGGATGTCGCTGGTTGTGTCAGAGTTAAATGTCAAACCACATTCTAATATATACGCTCACACACACACCCACACGACGCCAGGACATGTAAACACTCACACACTACACACACACACAGCTCTCCCACACATGCCCACCCCTCAGCCCTCATTCCACAACGACACAGGAAGTGACAGGGTGACCCATTTCTCGGTTTTCTTCGGTCTCTGTATAGATGTCACCGTGAACGACGGAAATGTGCCGCGCATGCAGAGAGAAGGAGAAGTGACAACACAGATGTCACTGACCTCAGTGACTTACTAAAAGTGACCCGTTTGGTACGCAACCTGCTGCACCTGCTGACCTACATGCAGCACATGAGGTCATTTAAATGTAAAGATACGAGGCGGCACCAAGAGGAACAACAAACCCAACAAACCGGCTCTCTGTGGACGACACTCGTGTCGATGCCTCCTGAGATTTTCTGTCGCGCGGCAGGTGTGTAGATAGTACGAGTGATAAGACACCAAAAGTCTGTCGTGACTCAATTCTGGAGCCACTTTGTCGTCGTATTGATGTGTGAACAATCAAAGATCGTCTCAAAGCAACACATTCCAAGACAGAGAAGAAAATCTGTGAATCAATATTTCGTTGTGTAGGATGAAATGCAATGAGAGGTTGTGATAAGAAAAAAACTAACAATTAACCAGTATATTTCCCAATAATGATATTTCATCATTATTGGTACAATATCCAAGATATAATCCATTGTTTTCCTGTCTTTTGAGAAATATATTAGCATTTTTACAGAGTCCATGCCACGTCCTAGACTCACTTAGGGGGTGAGTCTAGGCTGCATTCAAGGTAATTTGTAAATGTCGGTTTCTGATTTTTATAGCTAAATAAAACAATAATGTCGCTGCCTTTTAAAGGAATCTGTCGAGGATTTTTAGCTCAATAATGTCATTAATATGAATACTTTAAACTTATTGGAGATCCTTTAAAACGTAGTTTAAGAGTTGTGTTTGATAACCTGTGACTGACTGGTGACCTCCCAATGGGGGACCCTGCCTCTCCTCCAGTGCATACTGGAAACTGGCACCGTTCCCCGTCCCGGACCCAATGGGTTCAGGAAGGTCTATTCATAAAAAAAAAGAACATCTTTAAAAGCTTTTTGATGTCCAATTGTCAAAAAGAGTTGCGCGTCCCATGCAACCTCAGGGACTGACTTCCCATGTCAAATGTTGTTTGTCTTTTCTTTGGATGGACTTTAGTGAAATGAAATTTTGTTGTACTTCTCTATGATGACAATAAAATCATTCTGAATCTGCAACTTTGGTCAAATCACTATTTGTGAAGGATCTTGAGGAGTTTAGTCAAGATCCTCCTGCTTTTATACACCATAAAACACCATTTATACAAGCAGCTGTTGTATTTGTCTTTATTGAGGATAAACTTTGGTAACTTATTAATGCAGATCAAACAATATAGTACAATAAAAATTAGCAGTGAAGTTAAACCAGCACAGACTTATCAGCGTTTTCTTCCCCCTTACATCTATGCAGCTCTTAGCAGCTCATTTATTAGGTTTCACCATCTTTAACCAACATAATACAGATGATCACCTCGTCTATATTATATATTTGAAAGAAGAAGAAGAAGAAAAAGCAGCCACAGAAAAAATTAGGATTTGCAGATATTCTCTGTGGAATGTGACTCTAAAATATTTGCAGAAAATTTGCCAAATTACAATTATTTCCTTGATCATTCCAAACTATTCAAACAGATTGGGAGGCTGAAACACCAAGAGACAACGCCTCTTGATACACTATTGGCTGGTATTTAGAAAGAACCCGGTGCAGGAGCCTCATTCGTTCTCCTTGGTGCTGATTGTCTTTGTCCCCAAGAGCCGAGACGACTAACACTTCACTGTGGGTGGTAGTTCCTGCGGTAGTGCTAAGATGGCTTCCACTGAGCGCGTCAGTGGATGTTAAGGTGTAAAATAGGTAGTAGTAGGCGTCTTTTGGGTGGAGAAGGTCTCAAGTATTTGCAGAATTGAGTCATTTATTGTGGTCTCAACCTCCTGGGATCTGCTACAAATGGTCTACATTAGTAACGTACTTGTGGCACACTCACTAATGGCGCTGTAGCCTCTAATATCTGCGTTTCTAGACAGCTACATGCATTCTGTCCTAGTTAGTTGCTACTCCAACAGAGGAGCGTCATAATATCCCAACATGTCATCTGGGAACAAGCATCTTTTCATTGTTTATTATTGTAGCTGTATGTGACTCAACACACCGTTAGTCTTCAATAAACTTACATCTTGCCCTTGATGACCTTGTTTTTATCCAGAAAAGTTAGCTGTAGTGCTAGGCTAACATTAGCATGTTTGCTTTCTGTTTTGATACGGCTTGTGGTCATCGTTCTAGTCCGTCGGGTGTAGACAAAGCTCATAGCCAAGGTCACCAATGCGACTTCATAAACCGAGGGACTTGCTTTGCAGAGCGGGTCATGTGACACAGACAGAATGGGGAGATGCAGCAGCCAATGCAGTCTCTGCTAAACACTCAGGTAGTTAGGGAAAACCCACACGTGTTAGATCATGTAAATGGCGTGCACAACCTATAGTGCAATTTTGCAAGCGGAGTACGCAAAAAATAGGCTGAGATTTGTCAAAACTGGGGACGCAAAACGCAAACTGGTTGCAGTACTGGGGGCCGGCTTTCGTCAGGAACTCTTGACACCATGGGATCAAACATGGACTTTACTGTCCTCAAGCAGTAGACAGTACACAGACTACTTTGCATCTATCTTAGAATTTTTGTGACAAATTGGGCTTTTTTTCTGTTTTCTCTCCTTAGAAACACTTCTTGAACTCCTCCTGATGATGAATCAAGTTTCGAAGGCCAGCGTTTAGATGGATTTGTTACTGAATGTCATTTGTAGCTCTTTAAGCGTCAGATAGTCGGTTCTGAAGGGTTCCACGGGCATGGAGGACGACCTGCACATGGCGCCAGCAACAGGCTGAGCAGCTGAGCTACTGCCTGTGTCTGTCTCAGCAACATCCATCTGCTGGCTTTCAGACGGCCTTGTCAACGTGGAAGGATGAGCTGATGGAGAGGAAGGAGGGCGAGAGGGAAGGTGAAGAGGAAGGAAGAGAAGAGGGGAACTTTGATCACTCAGAACTGCCTCCTCTTCCCTGCTAACTGCTCTCCTTGTCTCTTTCATTTCATCTTCCGTCATAATGCCAAAACCAGAGTCAGGGCTCTCCGGCTCCCTTTTCAGACTCTCATAATCGGGATCACACAGGGGGAAGTGCATGCCATGGACCTGGGGAGAGTTCTGGAAATCGTCTCGATAGGCGAAGTAAGCCGGGTTGGAGTCGGTCCGAGCCGAGCCGCCGCCGGAGGAGCTGGACATGAAGTAACCCACGTTTGAGAAGCTCGACAGGGACGACGAGTTGTAGTCGAGGCCGTTGTTGGAGCTAGAAGCGGGGTATCTGTGGAAGGGAAGCAGGGGGCTGGTGGTGATGGAAGTCGGGGACGGGGAGGACGCCGCCTCGTTCCAGTCCTCGCACACCACCACACGGGAGATTCGGTCGCACGAAGGGGTGACGAAGAACGACTGGGTCCCCGAAAAGGGATTGAGCCATTCCTGCAGGGAAAGCAAAGAGCAAATTTAGCTTCAGGGATGACAAAAGCGCATTAGTGTGTGTTGATTGTGAAATTATAGTGCCTTAAAAAGGACTTTTTTTTTTTTTTTACATTTCAGTGATGTTACAACCACAGACCTCAATGTGGTTTACTCAGATTTCATGAGATCAACACACAATAGTGTATAATTGCGAATTAAAAGGAAAATGACACCTTTTACTTTCAAATAGACAGAAACCTGATCAGTGTATTGCTTTCATTACCATTTGTCCCCTTTACTTGCTTTACAAAGTTTGACACAAGCCATAAGTGAACACAGCAACCACCCGATCAAATGGGACCAAAGTTGAACTTTTGCTTTTTTCGCGAAACACTATGTGCTAAACAACTAACACTGCCCTGTTAGTTGTTTCAGGGCCCACTTTGTAAAACATGGCAGCGGCTGAATCACGATGTTGGGACACCTTCCTTCAGCAACGCTGGACGGCATCGATCACAAGTCGGGTAAAATTAAACCCTGGAGGAAAGACTTCTCTCCCTTTAGACTCATTCATTACTGTGTACTGCTTAATGTGTAAATGATGTAATCTGAACATGCAGCCTCTCCAAGTTGAGAGGCTGCAGCCTTAAAAAACCTGTGAAAAAGACAACACCATCTGCGCTTTCCAAAACTATAAACGAAATTGCCAATCAGTCTTACACTGGTGTAACTCTTGCAAGCACACACACAGACGCTGTCATTGCATTGAGGACATGATAATTACTTTTAGATTTCCCTGGTGGACCGTGTGGAGAGTTTGGAAGTACTTCGAGGGATTCGGTAGCGGCTTCCCTTTGAGCAGCCTGAAAGGAAACAAGCTCAGCATTAGCTTAGGCATGGCAACATGCCGACACACATTATCAGGATGATCAATTATTTACCCCCGGGTCTTGTAGTGGGCCAGCACAACGATGACAGTGACGAGAAACAAGCCGAGGGCGACTAAGCTCCACCTCACTGTGTTCTGATCTGATGGCGAGTACGAATGACCTGGTCAGACATAAAAAGTTGACCAAATTTGGGTTTGGTTCGGAGAGATGTGACAATAAAAATTGTGTTTTGGGCAATTCATTTACTTTTCTCATCTTTCAAATCCTCCCAGGATGTCGTCGGGCTCCAGTCGCTCCAGTGGCTGCCGGGTCTTCCAACCGGATCGACTCGGACTCTGACCTCCAAGCGGCCCTTCAGTTTCCCCGCCTCAAACCTCAGCACTTGCTCCCTCGTGGAAACATTTCTGGAGTCCTGAGAGATATTACAGTCAGCGAGCGGATCTACGACAATATCAGCTGAGTGAAAGTGAACACTACCCCATTTCATCACACGAAAACAAACGGTCACTAATTTAAGCTGCAGACGTGAAAGCAACAGGTGTCGGCATCAGACTCTGATGTTGGCCGACTACAAAGAATAACAAAAAGTACATTTTCTCAAACGCCGTTCGCCTATGGTCAAGTAAAATGGATCATGCCCAAGAGGATCAAAATACCAGATATAAGGGGTTAAGATGCGCTTCCTCTAGATGACGGCCAGACTTTCCCTTACAGCAGAGGAGGTGAAGCTCTGTCATCTGGAGGGTCAATCCGCCATTGTTTTTCTTAACTCCCCGTGCAAGAAAAAACTCCCCAAAAAAATTCTGGATTTCTGAGATCCAAAAGTTGAACATTTTGAGATTGAGTTGTTTGTCTAGAAAATTTCTTAGATTAATCGAGAAATTTCAAACTTTATTTTCTGACAAATTTTAAATTTTTCAAACCCTGAAATTTCTTGAGTTTTTTTTCCAGACAGTGTCCGAGGTTAATCTCAAAGTTTCTAAATTTATTTCCAGCAAATCTTCAACTTTTCCAACTGAAAAATGTCCTTGTTTTTTCTATTTAAAATGTCCCCAGGAGATTCTCATACCTGTCTCGGTCAGTGGCATGGCATTAGTACAATACTCAGCGATAATATTCAGGTTCTGTGTTTCCCTAAAGTCCTACATTTGGACATCAACAAATTGGGCAGGAAAAGTAACGAATGATGATCACTAAATGTCCCTTCATGCCGCCCAGATTACTTCACTACTCTACATTCACACGCTGACGATGCTCAAGGATGCGACAACTGACACAGACTGAGCAGGAGTCTCCGCCGTCGCTTCACCGTCTAATGTCTGAATTAAGATCAGCGTAGAGACTAAAACCTCAGAAAGTTTTGAACTTCTTTTTTTATTTTCAGTTTTAGTTGCTATTTCTAAATCATCGTGGATGCAAGAAGACTCACCCAAAGCCGCAGTGACGCTTTGTAACAGTGAAAACGGAAGAAATGTGACTAAAAATGGTTTATTTTTTCTGTTCTCTTGGGAGTTGATTTTCATTTTTTCTTTGTTCTTTCTTTGTATTCAGAGATTTAAGAGATAAATGAGAAGAAATCCAGAGTAACATTTAGATTACGTCCTTGCCGTTGTGCCCAAATAGTTGAATTGGTTCACGGTGGGAGACACGCCACAGAATCTCGGTTGAGCAAAGAGAAAAGAAAAAAAAAATGATTGCGTATTTTGCCAAATCTGGACAAAACAGTGACTGAACAAACCTTTGCCAATTTAGTTTGCGTAAGTGATATTTCTACCACATCGGTACGTTTTATCCAGGTTTTCCCCCAAATTTCTATTTTAATAAACAGATTTCAAGACGCAAACAAGTGTAAAGGTGCAGTAATGTTCTCACCCTCCATTCCTGTTGTCTCTGTTTGATCTGAAGCTGGAAGTCGAAGCCAGAGGTGAAATACATTGAGACAGGATTCCCCAGGCTCCATGATATCAAGGTGAACCTGTCAGTGATGTTGACCTGGGGAGCTCGTGGAGGAGGCATTTTAACTGTATGTCCACAAACACACGCACAAAAAACAAGATTTAACCAACCATTGCACAAATAATTGCATATTAAAGCACTCCCAACAGAGAGAGAGAGCTAAGAGAGGGAAAGCAGCTCACTGTGTTCCTCTGGCTGGTAGTTTGTGATGTTCTCCACCAGCGTCCCGCTGCACTTCAGATAGATCCTTGGCAACACGTCATAACCAGAGAACTTCTACACAGAAATCGTCAAGACATAAAAAAATGTCTTGAGCAGACAGGAACAGGATTTTCAAGGCTCCAACCACAAGCTCCTGGTTGGGATTGTGTTTCATAGACGAACACAAAGCGGCGGACGACTGTAAAATAAAAGTTGGCCTTGCTTTGCGTTGACTCCAGTGAAATAAATGTGAAGTTTGTTGCTTTGATGTGAGAACATGCGGGAAGGTTCAAGAGGTGAGATGACCGCTTACTGTTTCTCCAAAGACGAAGCTGCAGCCCAGAGACGACTTCCCGTGTTGTTTCAGTTTGCAGCTTTCACTGGAAAATGAGACCAAAATGATTCAACTCACAGGTTCAACTCTGATAAGCAAAAAAACACAACAAAACAAAAAAATCACAGAAATTTTCTTTTTTTTCCCCCAGAAAATTTCTCTCATTTCTTACACTTTTAAGTGCTTTTCTCTATAAATCCAAAATATCTTCTCTCCAGAGATGGAACAGTCCTCCACAGAACCAAGCCCGGCTCCGGTCCAGCTGCAGCTGACGTTGTTAACAAAGTCATTCGTGCAGACGAGCCCTTGAGACGACAAACACGAAGATGAGAAAAGTGTCCTGACAGAGCGGTGGTCTCTGATTAGGCTCCAACAGGAACTGGTTTTAGTTTTATTTAGCTGTTGACTTTTAGTAGAAGCAGGAATGAAAATAGACAGCAATTATCAAACACGTCCGTACCGGCTGAAGCTTTGTGAGAATGAGCTGGAATCAGAACCAGCGAGATCCACAGGGACCACAGCAGCGTCTCGGCGGCCAGCAACATGGCTGAAGGAGGGCAGAAATCAGGTGAGTCTAAACAAGAAATGTTTCTCTCTGTAACCTGTTTCTGAAACCTGAAAGCCCCCGTCACAACTCTAACCACCGCCAACCAAAATTAGCACAAGGTTGAGCTGTTTTGACTGAACACTGGAACAGCAGAAAGCAAAAACAGTCACCCTGAGAGGACAAGCCAAGTGTTTGCATGAAGCGTACGATCCACACTTTAAAATCATCGAACAAGAATCGAGTTCATCTCCCCGTCCGCTGTCTGTGCTCACAGGGTCGAGGGGGAAACCATGTTTATTAAATATCAAACACAATCAAAAATGACGCATAAAAGGCTCAAACATCACCAAAAATGCAGATAAATGCCACCAACACTATGTGTGGCATTTGGCACCTTGTTCCTAATTTTGAAAGCCTCATCTCGTCCGACCACTGAAAGTTTCTCCAGACGACATCGACCAAATTTCAGTCCCGCTTGTAAGTTGTCACATCTTTCCCTGGTTGGCACCCTCTCTATGTTTTGGTACCGAAGCTCCACTCCGTGGTTCCTGAGTTGCTCTCGAGAATCCTGACTCATTTCCTCCGCTTGGAGGTGACGGCTTGTGTCAGAGCGGAGCTTTGACACAGCCGGGTGTTCTGGCAACCCCAGCACCAAAACCCAGTTTCTGGAACGGTCCTGACCTCATCCTGACATAGAAACGTGCAGACGTGGGCTTAAAAGCCAGGCATTAAATCTATCTTTTGCATTTCTAACCACAAAGGTTTTGGTAAAGGTTTCACCAAATGTCCAACTAGAGAAACTCTGCAGTAAGTTCATAGTTGTTCAACCCATTGCTGCCTTTAAAACCAGTCAATGGGTTAGTTGTGTAATAAAGGTTCAGATTGTTCAATAAAAGTAAAACATTTATCTGAAATTAATGAACTGTGTAAGTTCCTCTTTATTTTATTTTATTTTGTTAGAAAGTGTGGAGTACTAACTTTTAACCCAGAAAAGGAATTAGACCAGAGGATACTGACTTATCTACCAAACCCAAATATCTAGTATCCAGTTTATTTACTTTGGATCAACATTATTAGCTTTTTCTTCTTTTGCTCTTTCCTTTGGTTTTGTTTGTATTTCCTTTTAAATCCTGTAAAGCATTTTCTATTGTCTTGCTGCTAAAAATGTGCTACATAAATAGAATTACCTTTACCTTTCTATAACAGAAAGAGCTCCAACCAGACTATATAATGATCCTTTATTACCATATAAACCAATCAACATTGCGCTCCATAAAAAAGCGATTGCATTCAGTGTCATTTAGCATGAGGCTTTTCTATAAAGATGGCATCAGCTATAAATAGAAAGTCTAAATGTTGTTACTCTGAGTCGAGCAAACGGAGAAGAGTTATCTCACCTCCGTGACCCCGAACAAAAAAAGTTTGAAAAGGTAAGAAGGGAATTTATTTAGAGATTTGCACAGAAAACATGCTATAAAATTAGACTCTTCACTTTTGCTTTTCTGTTATTTTTCCTGAGCAGAGTTGGGGAAAAAAACAAAAAGTTACCTTATGTCTCCTGACAGCAGGGGGTCGGCAAGAGGAATGACATCCTCAGGTGGTTTTCCTCTGGCCTGATGATTAAATTTCTCTAATTTCTCTTTCTGCACCTCTTTCCCTCTACTAGAGCAGACTGACTGTCACCTCTCTCTCTCTCTCGTTCTCTCTCTCTTGCTCTCTCGCTCGCTCTCTCGTCTTTCTCGCCCCTCTTCTGTTTTCTTCTAAGTGCCCAGTGACATTTTCCACTTGAAACCGCAGCTCACAGGTCTTACAGGAAGCTTCAACAGCGGTGAGTGATAGTGAAAAGGGACGGGCCGGGTCGGTGGAGGTGCTACTGCGTGCTGCTGGTGAGGCTATTTTGCTTGCCTCTTCTTCCTCCTCATCTTCCTCCCTCAGCGGCAGCAGCAGCCATGCAGTCACCTACCTGGGCCCCATCACATGCTTTAAGGTCATAATAATTGTACTGAAAGCAAGAAACACAAAGAATCACCACATCCTGTTTCAATTGCAATGTAAAACAAGAGGCTGTATGCAGAGAAACTCCATGTTCTTGTGAAGTGGTTTGCATCAGCGAAACCCGGCTTCAAAAAAAGACGTTTCAAAGGAGTGGAGAGGTAAAAACGGCCAGATTTAGAATCATGGTAGGGGGAGTATTTAAAAATAAGATCTCTCTCTCTGTCTCTCTCTTTCTGTCTCTCTCTTTTCTTTCTGAAACTCACTGAGCTGTAAAGACTTCAAACCGCTGCTGTTACAGCCACAACCACTGCAAATGCACATAAACAACTCTGGTTGCTTGTGAGAGGAAAACAAGCCGAGAGGTTAGGAAGCAGCCTTCTCGTTAACCAGAGGTCACCAAACATTTCAGTGCAGCCACCAGGCCTGCAGCTGCGTCCACTGCAGCGGAGCACAAACGTAATGATGAATGGAGCGAAATGCAGAACAATTGTAAACTTCTTGTCTTTCGCTGCATGAAATCCTAAATCTTAACCGAGTATTTTTGACCTAGTTTCTGGTGCATAGTATCTTAGCACACTTGAAATGAGGCAAAACTGACTTACAAGTAACTTTTCAGCAAGATATATAACACAGGAGCTCATCTTAAGTAAATAATTCCCAGTCCTCCTTGTTTTTCTCTATTATTGTAAAAAAAAATAAAAAGAAAGTCAGAGAAGTTATGTAAGGTTTGGAAAATGCATATGTGGAAAAACTCACCTTTTTATCAAGATTAAGAAATGATTTACTTAAAACAAGATCTTATATATTTCTTAATAAGTTAGTTTTGTCTTATTCGAAGTACTAGAATATTATTCATTAGAAACTAGACCAAAAAGATTTTTTTTACTCTCGCAGTGTCCCACTTCAATATTCTGTTGTGACACTTGACGTCCAATGAGGAATGAGGGCATGAACGCCAGGGGCAAATCAGGAGCAAAACAGACCATAAGTAGAAGAATGACAGAAAAAGTTTGATGACAGCACGGTTTGGCGTGATATTATCACATCGGCAACGAAATGTCAAGATGAAAGTGAAGTGACTGTGACCCAGAAATGCTTAGATAAGATTGTAGTGTTCCTCTCTGTCTACAGGTTCAGAGAAAGGCCATTGTGAAACACTCTTCCCTATAGCTTACTGCAAAGATAGTCCAAACCACAGGGCCTTCATGTACACAATGCAGAAAGTGTTGCAACATTCACCCGTCTGATCTCTGCTGTCAGCAGCCTCTCGGCTCGTCTGGCTGAGTGGGTACGTGGAGCTGGAGACCGGCGCCACTTAGCCTGTTGGCATCATCTGGGATACCGAAGCGGGGGGGGGGGGGGGAGGCGGCGCAAAGGGGAGGAGGCGAGAGAGGAGGACGACGAGCGTACGGCACTCGCCCAAAGGTCAGAGTCCGCTGTGCCTGAAGCGGAAAGCCGCTGAGAGGACGACAGCGATGCGTGTGGGAGGAAGGGAGGGGAACGGTGGGTGCACTGTGGGGAAGAGGTGAGAACAATAACAAGAGTCGGTGCGCTCACAACACAAGCGCTATAGGTCTGCATAACAACCCGACTTGACTCCCAAATAACTTCAATTAACACTTTTGCACACGGCCTCTCCCATCAGTTCAAGCTGCGGTGAGAAACGGGTGCTAAGCATGTTCCAGTTATCCTACATCATTCAATGACTCATCAAATAGAGAAAGAAGTAAACTATAAAACATGTTGAATGAGGAGGACCTGAGCTCGACATCCTGTGATGCAGAAGGATGGCTGCGCATTGTAAGAGTCCGTTGTGGCACTTGACGCCTACTCAGTCTTGACTTGAGAGAAGCAAAAGCAAAAGCAACTGGTTCAGCACGCAAGCCAGCAGGCATTGGTAGAAACACGAAATGAAGGAAAGAGCATGCAGGAAACAGTAACAGCAGAAAAAGCCACAGGTGGAGAAGCACTGAGGCTGTCCTGCAATGCAGAGCATCTGTCTGGGTATTCTACTGCCTCCCATATTCCAAAATTGTTGTACTTTCTGTTTGTCACTGTGTTTTCCTGAGATGGACAAACAACAGCTTCCCCTGCGCAACAGTGCCTGTCCATCCAGTGTCATAACATTCACCAGCTGAATAGAAGGGAAACTGAAAAAACATATTTTTGGACCGCAAGAGGAACAACCTCTAGTCACCACAAAGCTTCATTTATTACAGATACAGATCAGGCATCAAGTGATGGACTCAGACCTGAACCTCCAGAGACACATAAAGACAGTCACAAATTCAGCCTTCTACCTGAAGAACATTTCCAGGATTAATGGAATAAAGCCCCAGCAAGATCTAGAGAAACTCATCCATGCATTTATCTCTGGTTGCATTGATTACAGCTGCAGCGTCTTCACAGACCTGCCTGAAAAGTCAAACAGCTGCAGCTGATCCAGGACTCTGGATCTTATTGTTTTTCCTTACTTTGCTGCTCAAATTGAATATTTTTTGCTTGTGGTTTTATTTTCCTTCTAGTCTTATGAAGCATTATGATTTGCCTTGCTTTGGATAAGTGGGTCTAGTCAATGGATGGGAGGGAAAATACGTCCAAAGCCTTGTTCGCTATGAAAAGATAATTTCCAAAACAGCTTGAGTCACTGCACCATCCTTAGTATCTAAAACTACAACAGATTTTATGATAGCAGTCGTTTGCACAGCGAAGGAGGAATCATGGCACACTTTTGCTTACTGATTGAAAGACCTGAATAAATTTAGGCGTTGATTCGAAAACTTTGATTTCGCTTTGTTTTAACTTTTAATTCATTCAGAAGCTGACTCGCTGGTGGGCTTCACAACCAATGAGAGTTTGAACCTAAGGTCCAATGTTCACTTTGAGGATTTTCTTATGCAGAGCAGAATTTGTGAGTCCATCATTTAGCACTAGCTGACCAGATCTTGAAACACCGAAGCATCACGTTACCACCAACACGACAAACAAAAAATGCGATTCCTGCGATTCTGTTAAAACATTTTTATTAAAATTTTCTCCCTTCAACTAATTGATTGTACTCCCATGAAAGCTTAGCAGTTTTTTTGCTTTAAAATTCGCAGTATGATGAGAAAGCAACCCTGAGGCGTCGTTCAATGCAGAGGGAGAACGTCAGCTGGAGCTGATTTTGGCAGTTTGTGCAAGACGGCGAAAGTGACTTCAAACAGTTTCCCTCAACCCTCTTTATCTTTCTGCTAAAGAATGGATCAGTTTCAGTGGTTTCAGTCAAAACCGCCTCCACTTGGCTGCTTCTACACGCCACACACTGAGCAATAAATGTTCCTCTCAGTTGGCTGAGTTAGAGTTGGAACATCTGTGATAACCTATTTCAGCCGGTCATGAGTTGATGAAAAAAATGGAATAAAGGTTCAGAGTTGAACAAAATGCCAAAAAAGTAAAAAAAAAAAGTCTAAATTTATTCTTCTTTGCAGGACGAACTCCATCAATGACTTAGGAAAACTTTTAAGTGTTTTTCTGGTCATTTCATATCATAATGAAAAAAATGTGGCAGTGTTGAGTCGTACTAATGTTGACACAAACCATAACACTGAGGTTCTTTTTCATCCATTTCACAGTAGTCATCACAAAAAATATATGTACAATCAAAAGGCAAGTTGTGATTTTTTTTTTATTTTATTAATTTCTTTTGGGAAGTTAAATCTCTTCCATTAGCAGGGCCGAATTTCCAAAGACATGGATGCTGGCATCCAATTCACTAAGAAAAACTGATTTTAGTAATTCAAATTACAGAACATTAATAAGTCGGCCCAAACTGATGCATTGCAGGTTTAATTTGTCCTCTATCCTACATATAATTAACAAATATTTGAATATTGTTTATATTCATAAAAATCCTAAATGAATACAACTCACATGATTTGGGCCAATGAGATTTATGCTAAGCATCCTGTCAAATTAGTGACAGTATTAGATGGAATTACTGTCTCAATTTTAAAGAGTAAAAAGAAACAAAAGTTTATCTCTGAATTAATGTGAGACGATGTGAACAGGGCTGGCCCCAGGTTGTCAGGGGCCTTTTTGCACAATTGGTCAATATTTGCTGAGATGAAATTCCTTTCGATCTTAACATTAAAATTTGAAACAACTTTAAATATTTCAATTTTCCTGCGTGCAAATTGCAGCATTTTCAGGAGGCCTGATGGTTTCTGAGCCCTAAGAAGCAGCTTAGCTTGCTTATGCCTTGGGTCGGCTCTGAAAGTGTGCGTAAATATGTGGTTGTGTGCGTTTGCGGTGAGTTCAACCAAGGTGAGGCACCGTGTGCCAGATACATGATTACACAACCAACGGTTGGGTTTTCATCCATATCGTTTGTGCAGTGGCTGATATTTTATCATCCAAAACGAGCAACAAATCCAAGTCCTGTCCAGGATTTATATCTAGACTTTATGGGATTAATTACTGCAGGGATGTAAAAGGGGGTGGGAAAAAAAAAAACCTTCAGCAAACAGGATGACTGTTTCTTTTAATAACAAGCCTTTCCCACAAAGACAATAATCTGTGGCGATAATTTAATGATGTAACTTCCTGTACCTGGAGAAAAATGTGACAGAATGTTCTCCACGCTCTTGAGCAACCTAAAAAAAAAGATTCGCTAAGAAAAAGAAGAAAAAAAAATGCAAGTGTGAACATTTTTCTGGTGTTAAATGTCGAAGATCATTAGAAGTTTCATTAAAAACATAAAAGTGTCTGTTCCTGAATTTTAAAGACATTTTCTTAACTATATTTTGGACAGATTTACTTGTTCTATAAAAGACGCATCACACAAGGAGGAAATAAAGTAACTGCGTAGCAAAGGAGGAGAAAAGGAGAAATAAACAACTGCAGTTTCTCACTGTGGTTTTGTGTCCTTTTGGTCAACTGAGATGATAAAACCGCCGGAGAGATGCAAACAAA